TTCTGCAGAGTGATTGGTGGGCTCCAACTTCCAACTTTTTGTTAGCAGCTCAGCACTTAACCACTGCACCACCAGGGCCCCTTGGAAATGTTTATAGTATGCCAACCATGATTACAGTAAATTTTTATTATTATTGGCAATTCCTGTGATAGAGAATGAACACTTAAAGTATGTCTTAAGTGATGAACCTCTAAAATATAATGAACAGTGTTGTTCATTATATGGTACTCTTCTTCAGGTAAATAAATACCTTTGAGTTGGACCTGACTCATAGTGACCCCTCCTTGGGTTTCCGAGGCAGTATCACCATGGAAGTAGATTGCCCCATTTTCCTTCTGAGGAGTGGCTGGTGAGTTTGAACTGCCAGGCTTCTGGTTAGCAGTCAAGTGCCTTAGCCACTATGCTACCAGAGCTCCCAATGAACAGTGTAGCAGTAGTGAAAGGAAATCATATTAAATGTACATTTGAGGAAAAAAGCATAAAATATTTAACCCATGTGAGTTTCTGATGGCTTACCTCAACAGGAATAATATTGTTATTACTAATAACAATTATAGGAGTTCTTAGGTAGTGCAACTACCCAGGGGCATCTTGGAAGATAGGCCTGGGGATCTGCTTCCAAAAGGTTGCAGCCATAAACATTCTATGGAACAAGTCTAGTCTGCACACACGGGTTTGACATGAGTTGGAATCTACTCCACAGCAACTAACTACAACAACAATAATGATTCATTGAATGGTTATTATGTCTAGGGATTACTATGCTAGGGCCTTTATATACTTTATTTTATCTAATCTTCATAACATTTGCTTGCTGTCTTACCACTACCCTTTTTGTATAGATGAAGATACTGAAACCAAGGCATATTAAATGGTTTATCCAAGATAATTGACAGATCAGTGGATGAAGAACAATTAGACTTATGGGAAATGCCCAGGAATTGACAAGCAATTAATTTTTCTGTCTTTCAAAGACAAATCATGTGACTATGTTATTGTTCTTGGAATACATTTTAAGAGTACAATATTTAGAATACATTGGAAAGACTAATAAAAAGCATTTGAAAAGAGATGAATTTGTCTTTTGATGGATTCTCTCTGGACATATACTGGTAGTTATGAGCAGATACTTAGGCAAAATTATGAAGGTTACATAGATTTAGATCCAAGCAAACACACTTACAAAATTGTTTATTTTTGCAGTTTTCTTTTTACAGTTTTTACAGTTCTTCCTGTATAATCATTTCATTTTTAAAAGAATTGCTTTCAAGCAAACTACTGTTAATTAAAATTTACTGTGATAAAAATACAACCTTGAGTATATCCCACCTTAATTTAGAAAGCATCTGAAGAATAGATTTGACACATTGAGCACCAATGACCAAAGACCAGAGGAACTGTGGGATAACATCAAGAATGCCATACGTGAAGAAACTCAAAGGTTGTTGAAAAGAGAGGAAAGCAATAAAGGACGAAAATGGATGTCAGAAGAGACTCTGAAACTTAGTCTTGAACAGAGAATAGCTGAAACAAATGGAAGCACTACTGAACTAACAGAGCTGAACAGAAGATTTCAAAGAGTGGTTTGAGAAGACAAAGTAAAGTATTATAATGAAATGTGCAAAGACCTAGAATTGGAAAACCAAAAGGGAAGACCATACTTGCCATTTCTCAAGCTGAAAGAACTTAAGAGAAAACTCAAGCCTTGAGTTGTAAAACTGAGAGATTCTGTGGGCAAAATATTGAATGGTGCAGGAAGCATCAAAAGAAGATGGAAGGCATACACAGAGTCACTGTTTGAAAAAACATTTTTCAGTGTTCTACCATTTCAGGGGGTAGCATATGATTGAGAACAGATGGTACTGAAGGAAGAGTCCAAGTTACACTGAAGGATTTTGTGAAAAACAAAGCTTCAGGAACTGACAGCATACCTACAGAGACATTCCAACAAATGGATGCAAAATTGAAAGCCCTCACTTGTTTATGCCAAGAAATTTGGAAGACAGCTACCTGTCATTTGGACAAGATCCATATTTGGACCAATTTCAAAGACATGTGATCCACGAGAATGCAGAAAATACTGAACAATATCATTAACATTACATACAAGTAAAATTTTTCTGAAGATAATTCAATAAGAGTTGCAGCAGTATACTGATAGGGAATGGACAGAAATTCAAGCCAGATTCAGAAGAGAATGTAGAATGAAGGATATTGTTCCCAATGTTAAATGGGTCTTGGCTAAGAGCAGAGAATACCAGAAAGATGTTTACCTGTGCATTTATTGAACTATGAAATGTCATTTCACTGTGTGGATCATAACAAATTATGGATAACATTGTGAAGAATGGGAATTCCAGAATGTGCTTATAAGGAACCTGTGCATACCAAGAGGCAGTGGTTCAAACAGAACAAGCGACACTGCATGGTTTAAATCAGGAAATGTGCGTGTCAGTGTTGTATCCTTTCACCATACTTGTTCAATCTGTATGCTGAGCAAATAATATCAGAAGCTAGATTATATGGAAAAAAACAAAAAACCAAAAAAACACCAGAATCAGGATTGGAGGAAGACTCATTAATAGCCTGCAATATGCAGATGACTCAACATTACTTGCGAAACATGAAGAAGACTTGAAATACTTACTGATGAAGATCAAAGACTGTATAGCTTTCGGTATGGATTACACTTCAATGTAATGAAAACAAAAATCCTCACAGCTGAACCAATAAGCAACATCGTGATAAATGGAGACAAGACTGAAGTTGTCAAGGATTTCATTTTACTTAGATCTGTAACCAATGCCCATGGAAATAGCAGTCAAGAAATCAAACAATGTACTGAACTGGGCAAATCTGCTGCAAAAGACCTTTTCAAAGTGTTAAAGAACAAAGATTTCAATTTGAAGACTAAAGTGTGCCTGACCCAAGCCATGGTGTTTTCAATAGCCTCCTATGTATGTAAAATCTGGACAACGAATAAGGAAGACCTAGAAAGGACTGATGCATTTGAACTACGGTGTTGGTGAAGAATACTGAAAATACCAATGGAATGCCAGAAGAATGACAAATCTGTCTTGGAAGAAGTATAGCTGGAGTTCTCTGTATAAGCGAGAATAACCAGACTTTGTCTATCATACTTTGTTCATGTTATCAGGAAGGACCAGTCCCTGGAGAAGGATATCATACTTGGTAAAGTTAGATGATCAGTGAAAACAGGGAAGACCTTCAATGATATGGAATGACATAGTGGCTTCAATGATAAACCTAAGCATAGCAACCATTGTGAGGATGATACAGAACTGGACACTGTTTCCTTCTGTCGTACATAGGGTTGTTAGGAGTCAGATCTAACCTGATGGCACTTAACAACAACTATAACATTATGTTACATAGCCTTCAATTATAAATGATATATTATTGTTGGTTAAATTTAGCAGTAAAAAAAAAGTTAGAAAAAATAGGGAAAGAACTAGAAAATAAATGTAAGTAAGAACTGATAAAATTGGGGTCAAAGGGGGAATTGATCAGTATGAATTCAGGGCCTTAGAATTTTTTTTTACACATTTTTAAAAGTAAATTGTTTATCAAAGATAAAAGGTAATTTAATAAAGCTCAATCCATTTAACATCCA